CTGCAGTTCCTAGGGTATATCTGATCCATCACTGGAAACTCTTCCCAGATAACAACATGCCAGCCATATTCCTAGCTAGTTATAAAAATTGTCAAAGAAAGCTTTAAAATACTCTTCAAACAGTAAATATTGCATTGTCAAAACAGCAATTAATGAAAAAAGGAATCATTTCTGGAACAGTCTGAGAAACAACCTCTGCTTTTCGAGCTCTCGGTGTTTTGGTGTTTTGATTATTCAGTGATAGGTGAAACGCTGAGAAGTGCCAGAAATCTCAGCACGAAACAACAGCCCCATCTCCATTCCAAAGGCACCATTTGCTGCTGGGGATTCGCCTCCCTCCTGCTGGAGGGGTGTCAGCTCTCGTTGCCTGGAGCAGGGAAGGGAAACAAGATCACGCAACGAGAAACCACATCTTGTGGGGCTGGTTCTCCTGCCAGGACTGCTCCTCTCAGGCATCCCAGGAGCTGCACCTTTCCCATCTGCTGAGCTCCCCTGGTTCCCCTCCACAGATCCCACACGCAGGGTTTGGGCAGGAATATTGATCAGGAATATCGGTTTAGTCACTTTGTGTTTTATTAACAGCACCAGGAGCTGCTGGCCCAATGCACCTTTTTCATTTCAGGCTGTTGTGTTGTTTAATCCTGAGTTGTGTTTGTTTTTTATTCCACAATCTGCAGTGGGAACAGAAAGCTTCCCCCTGCTTCCCTAGGAGCTGTGGCTTTCTCTGTGGTGTATTTTATTGGGAAATCCTGATCTGATGCATTAAATCCATGATTTTTTCATGGTAATATGTGTTAATGAATGCATTTTAGATGCAGGTTATTCCGAGCAGGGGGACACACGAGGCAGGGAGGTGAATGCCAGAGTTACATAAAAGGTATTTCAAAAGCCAGTGCATTTAAGCTCCTAATCTGGGCAAGTCTTTCAAGTTTGGGGATGCAGGCACCAGATGCAAGGAGACCTAACACAAACAATCACAGAGCAGCTTGTTTTGACAGAGAGAGAGCCTGTTTGGACAGCGAGGTGTATTCTCAAATAACTGTTCCATTTCGGTGCAGAAAATCATTGTTTTGCTTGGAAGCACACAAAAACCTCCAAACACACCGAGAGTCACGGGGCAAAGCCACTGGATAGAGCATCCCTGTCTTAATTTTGAACAAATTCTGAACCTTGTTGCTGCACTGATAACAATTTAACAAACCACAGGACGGGAAACTGCAAGGGCAGATTGACCACAACACAGGAAAATCAGAGTGTAAGAGGACAGAGACCTAAACACAGCTGACACATTCCCCAAAAAAGCAAATCCACGCTCTTGTGGCATGCAGGAAAACTCAGGAGGAAGTCATGAGAGGAATTCTTGAGCAGAGCCAAGGAACATGCAGGGAGATGTGGGAATTTCCCACAAGTGATGATGAACACGGGAATCAGAGCCCGTTCCCCAGGCTGGCCTCATCCTCCCACCCTTCTCCAGCAGCTCAGACAATTGTGTTACTTTCAGCATCGTGTTGTGACTTTTCCAGACTCTGAACTTAGCTCTGATCCCCCTCAGAAGCGCTACATGGGTGTGAGAGTGAAGATGCCAGTGCGGGAATTGCTGAGGAAAATCCGACTTTCCAAAGGCTTGGACCCAGCTCCTGGCAAGGTGAGAAATCCCTGGCTGGTATCAAATCAGGTTGACAGAAAGCATGGCATGATTTATGAATTATCTTGGGGAGAAAGAGATAAATTCCTGTCCCAAATTTAAAATATTGGTAACACCACACAGGGAAAACCAAGCACAGAACTGGCCTCTTCTCTAAAGTACCACGTTCCACTCAGAATAATGATTTCCAGTGCAAGAATAAAATCAAACTTCACTTTTCAGCAATTACATAACTCAGTAAATAACAAACAAGCCACCTATCTAGGTATTTCCAGCAATTTTTAAAAAATATACACAAAAATCTCATGCATGAAGGAAATCGATCACAATGAAGAAATTAAGATTGTGTTGGGAAGGTTTCTGCCAGGGCTGCAGCATCCCGGGGCACACAGCCACACCCCACTGTGTTCTGGAGGGGTCACACCTGCAGCTGCTGCCTTTTCCAGCCACCAAATCGATGCTTTTAAAAGTGGAGAATAAACCAAATTCCAGACAGAATGAGGGCTGGGCTAGGCACAGTTCTGAGGCAGTGACAGCAGGAACCCGTGGATGCTGTACATCATTCAATCATGGCAAAAATGGCCCAAAAACCAGTAAAAATATTGCTCCAGAACCTGCAAAACACAGCCCAAGGAGCTGATAAACTCCCAGGCTGCTGTAAAGATATTTATAAAGCTGCCATGAATTACCCACTCAGGGAAATCTCTCCATCTGCAGCCTCTGCTGAGCAAAATCCATCGCACAGGAGGCAATTTCGCTCTGCTCACATGACAATTTTTGCCACTGTTTCCTCTTCCCCTCCGTGTAAGCATCTCTCATTGAAGCTGGTTTTGTCTCCTCAGGAAGTCTCATCAGTGAAGATGGTAGCCAAAGGATCCTCAGGAAAAACAGGTTTGGAACTGCCTCACTTGGTAACAGAGCCTCCTTTTCTAGCGGGATCATCACTGCGAGGTACCCAAAGAGCCAGAGCCCTCCTGTCCTGTGCCAGTGCTCCCTGCTGGGTCCCTTCCACTCCAGGAGGGTGGCAAGCTGTGCCTCACCCCCTGCCTGGCTTATTTTATCTTATCTGCTGTCAGAATCTGAGGTATTGATGATCCCGAGATTGTAGAAAGTCTCTGTCTGTCACCCCCTGCCAAAGCAGAAGCCATAATTGGTCTGTGCTGGTTTCCAGGTTGTTTATTCTGTTTATCTCTCACATGTTCTGCTGCCCTGCCCAGCTCTGTCCTGCAGGGCAGCGTGTGGGGCTCTGCCCTCAGTGGGATGTGACAAACATTCAATACCAGAAACTCCCTGGGCTGCATTTACAAGAACGTGCCAATATCTGTCACCTACGTTGGACAGTGTGTCCCCAGCCTGAACCAACAGAAAAATGCCAACACCACAGTGAGACATGGAGGGCATGAAGAAGGAGAAAAAGGACAAGGCACACCCAATTTCCTCCATCTTGTCCCCTTTGGACCCCTCATCTAGAATCCTAAAATTTTACTTTTGCACCCATGCCACGCTTAATTATTATTTCTATCAAACACTCAGAGCTTGTAATTGATCCTGTAAGATTGAAAATTCTTTTCCATGGGCAGAGATCACAGCCAGTGTCTCTGGGGGCTCTGTCCAGGGGGGTTCCTGACCCCTGCCAGGGTCCCAGGGCAGCCAGAGGGAAGCTCTGCATTCCCACAATCTGGGGCAGGACTGATGGGAACCTCTGCTCTGTGTGTGCCTCTCCTCAGCTCTGAAGTTTTCCTTGCTTTTTTTCCAGCAGAGAAGAGGAGATCTCACCCTTATACAGAGAAACAGCTTAGACAGGTATGCAGAACACCTTGAACCCCGCCGTGCCAGGCTCCTGGGGCAGAATTCCTGTTCTATCACCCAGGGAGAACAGGACACTTCATGTCTGCTTCCCTCCCCTTTCTTCCTGTTGCTGTTTCAGAGCAAGCAGAGCACTGGGCAAACCCCCAGAGGCTTGGAGGACCTCGACATCCTGGTGGAGGTGCTGCAGGAGGATCTGAAGGAGAGCCAGCTCAGGGAGGAGCCCCGGCATCCCGTGCCAGACGGGATTTGGCAAGGATTCTCCCCGGAGCTGCAAAGCTGCCGGTGGGAAAGCGAGGAGGCAGCTGGGGGCCTGCAGGGGAGGCAGCACGGCCCAGCAGAGCTTCGCCCCGAGTCCTGCGGGAGGGATTTGCACCCAGGTCTGCGGGGACAGGCAGAGCCCTCCTTCCCTGGGCACCCGGGAGGCACCCAAAGGTCCGGCTGGCCCGGAATGTTCTCCAGGAGGGGCGAGAAAGGGAGCAGCTGCTGGGTGCAGGATGTTCTCCCGAGCTCCCAGGAAGGTTTCTTGAGGAATTCTCCATCCCAGGAAGGTCTCATGAGGAGCTCTCCATCCCAGGAAGGTTTCTCAAGGAATTCACCATCCCAGGAAGGTTTCTCAAGGAATTCACCATCCCAGGAAGGTTTCTCAAGGAATTCTCCATCCCAGGAAGGTTTCTCGAGAAACTCTCAATCCCAGGAAGGTTTCTTGAGGAATTCTCCATCCCAGGAAGGTTTCTCAAGGAATTCTCCATCCCAGGAAGGTCTCATGAGGAGCTCTCAATCCCAGGAAGGTTTCTCAAGGAATTCACCATCCCAGGAAGGTTTCTCGAGAAACTCTCAATCCCAGGAAGGTTTCTTGAGGAATTCTCCATCCCAGGAACATTTCTCAAGGAATTCTCCACCCCAGGAATGTTTTCCGAGGAATTCTCCATCCCAGGAAGGTTTCCTGAGGAACTCTCCATCCCAGGAAGGTTTCCCAAGGAATTCTCCATCCCAGGGAGGTTTCCTGAGGAATTCTCCACCCCAGGGAGGTTTCCTGAGGAATTCTCCATCCCAGAAAGGTTTCTCAAGGAATTCTCCATCCCAGGGAGGTTTCCTGAGGAATTCTCCACCCCAGGGAGGTTTCCTGAGGAATTCTCCATCCCAGAAAGGTTTCTCAAGGAATTCTCCATCCCAGGACATGCCTGCACTCCCCAGCCTGGCAGAGAAGTTGACCCCAAATTCCATCACCAGGCAGGACCTCTCTGCCCTCTCCTTCTTCCAGTTCCAGCTGCGCCGGGAGGAAAATTCCCTGAGGAACATCCCAGAGGAAAAACTGCTGGCTCCTGATGAAAAAGGCAACAGGTCCTCGATTTTTCTGTCAAAATACACTCTCCCTGTTCCTTTGGGGTGTTTTAACCCCTTCTCTGGGGTGTTTCAAGCCCTCCTTTCTCTTCTGATTGTTCCCAACCGAGTTCTCTTCCAGGCTGCTGCACAAGGCTGTTGCCCAGGGAAGGAGGGCTCTGACTTTTGCCCTGGCCCAGAGATTTGCCTCCCTCAACAAGATCGACGAGAAGGATGCAGAGAAAAGGGTAGGAGGCTGATTTGCCAAGGAAAAAAAAGTCACTTTTTATCACGTGCAATCCTCTTTCATACCCAGCCAAGCACCAAGAATCCTTCTGCTGTCCTGGAGAAGAAGGGAAAACGGGAATGGGGAGGGAGTGATGGAGCACAAGAGGGGACAGAGCCCCAAAATCCCAATTTTCCACTTCGGTATCTAAAAGATGTTGTTTTTTGAAACTATTTTTGCCTTTCACTGCAACTTTGTGCCCTTCTTCCCTTCTCAGACTGCTTTACATCTTGCTGCAGAAAAGAACCAGCACCTGATGGTGAGCGACCTGATCTCCCTGGGAGCCAATGTCAACGAGCAGGACAGCTCTGGGAAAACTCCCCTCCACCTGTGTGCAGAGAACGGATACCTGAGAGTTCTGGAGGTAAACTGGGTGCTTTCGTTGGGCCAAAGTGGAGGAAAAGCAACTGATGCACATCCTGGTGTTTGAAATAACTCGGGGTTTCACATCTAGCTCTGCTCTGATGTGGTTACAGCACGGTTTGGGGGAGGAAAGGGTATTTTTGGCACTGCCAAAGGTCAGGAATCACCTGGATATTCTTCATTTCAGGTCCTGAAAAGCTGCAAGAACAGCGGGGTGTGTGTGGAAGTGGATCTGCCTGACCACTGTGGTAGGAGGGACAGCTGAGCTGATTTGGGTTTAGATCCCAAATCTCTAAATACAGATTTGCTCTGGGCAAACCAGGTCGGGCTTTGACTTCCCCATGGGTGTTCCCCGCAGGTTTGACTCCCCTGCACTGTGCTGCTCTTGCCCACACCGTGCTGGTGGCAGAATCCCAGAGGGACAGCGGGAGGTTCCTGGGGCTGCGCAGAGCCCAAATCCTGGAGGGAATTCTCTGCCTGCTGCAGATGGGAGCAAAGCCCCAGCTGCAGGTGAGCACCAGCCCCAGCAGAGCTCTGCCCTGGCTTAAGTGTTCCTCCCCTTGTGCAACCCCAGGATTTGCTGTCATCTGCAGGCTCTGAATTTGTGGCAAGCCTCCACCCCCTGCCTAAAACTTGAGGAGAACACAGAGCTCATGTGTTTGCTTCAGACTCATAAACCCCAGGCACAGGATGTTCCTCGGGAGGTAACTATGGCTGCTTTACACAGGCTGTGTCTAATTCCAAGATTATTTTCCAGGATTAAGCAAATATTCAGTGCTTAAAAACAACAACAAAAAAGTACAGCTCTTTTGTCTTTTCCAGGGTCTTTTTTGCCTCTGTCAGATAAGAGTTCCCACCAGAGTACATGCAATAAATGTAATAATATTACAAGATTTCAGTTAGAAATACAGACTCTAAGCCCCATTTCAAGTCACTGACGTTCTCCCAGAACCCAGCAGAGAAAAAAAACCAAAATTTCAGTAAAGTTCAGCTGGAAATTGACTGTTCTGGTCTCTCCACCTGTACAGAGCTGCAGCCTGCTGGATGCTCCTGGAGGAATCCCTGCTCCCCCAGCTGCAGGTGTCCTACCTGAACTTTGCTCCTTGTCATCCCCAGAGCTCCTGGATGTCCTCAGAGGTATTTTGTGGCAGGAAGTTGAGCCCAGCTAGCTGAGGGGTTTGTGTGACTCAACAGCTCAATCCAATCATTTGGGGTGGAAAAAACCCCAAAATCATCCAGCTCAAACCTCCACAGCGTGGAGCTGATGCAAAAGATGCTCAGCACCTCGTCCCAGCCTTTGGATTTGCTCGTTTTCCTTGCAAACCTCCTTCCTCACCCAAAGCCAGCCAGAAAATGAGGGAATAAATCCCTCATTTAGCAGGAACGCCTTGCTTGGGGTTGAGCTGAGATTTGCTGCTTTTTTTCCTCCCAGGGAAATGCTGAGAGCTCTCCTCACCTGCATCTGATGGGTCACCTCCTGCAGGAAAACAACCAGAGCACAGGCACCAAAATACAGAATATTTTCTATTCTGTTCTGTCTTGAACTGACTGCTGCAAAGATCTCACCCAGACCCAGGATGAAAGAGCAAAGGGATAAATGAGGGAAATCCTCAGCACCAGGAATTCAGTGTTAGGTGCTCCAGGAAGAATTAGATCTTCATTTTCTCCCAAGTTTGTGCTTCTCTGCTCAGGTCTGAGGTCACTCTGAAGCTCTGATGATTTTTCATGCAGGTGTTTAGCCCAAGAAAAAGATTTTAACCATCCAGGGCCATGTATTGAGGGTTTCAGTCTAAAATTATCTCTATACTCCAGATTCAATGTTCAGATAGACTGAAAATCTCAGTGATTTTAAACATGAACTCTGGGAATTCAGAGCCTAAATATTAAAAATATTTAATATTTTCTGCAGTATTTGGCCAAGGCTGGAGTGGTCATATTTTAAGGCAGTCTCATGGTGAAGTCCTTCCAAAATAAAACATCGTGCTGAGCATGTTTTTTCAACAAAAATCAAGCTTTTTACTGGTGCAATCAGAATTTTGCACCCATAGTGGATTGTAGGTGAAGTCTGGGACAAAGAGTTTCGAATCAGCTCCTTTCTAACAGATCTAACAGAGGGTTTTACCTTTATAAAACTGAAATCTGTAGCAGCAGCTTTTAAAGGATCATTTTTTATGCCAAGTTGGGAGCATAACAAGGAGCTGAAATGATCCTGTGCTACCAGAAAACCAAGTTATTCAGCAGAATGACCACAAACTAGATCATTTTTATTTTTAATTATTTCTTCCTGGACTTACTCTCATTTCATTTGAACTTCTGGTTGCGAGTTTGCTGGTTTCTATGAAACTTCCCTGTTTGCTACATAGGGAGCAATTCTACTTTTACAGAAGCTAAACCCAAAACCCAAAACTGATCCAGCAGCTCCTCACGTGTCTCCTGTAGAGGAAAATGGGAGATTTCCACGTGAAACCACTGCAGGATCCAGTGTTAAGTACTCAGCATCTTTGGGGAATGTTTTTAATGAACCCTTTGCATTTTTTTTTTTTAAAAAAAAAAAAAAAAAAAAAAAAAGTTATTTTTGTATTTTTTTTGTATTTTTGTGTTATGGGGTTTCCTTAAGTGTTAAGCTCCAAGAGCTACATTGCACAAGGTGAGTTCACTTGGAGAAGTGGCAGTGTTGAAGTGAATTCCAATGGGATTTGGGTCATATCCTATGATTCTGATGCCCTGAACAGCTAAAGAGTTCTCTTTTGTATTTTCTCTACTCTGAGGAGACACAACAATTCATAATCTTTCAGTATTTCATTAAAAATGTATATATCTTATACCTTATTCTCATGATGAGTTGCATAACTCATCCATCTCCTTCCAAATCTTTCCCTCATTTTTTTTATATTCTTTGGTCTTTTCAACATTTTCTCCCAGGTTTTGTGGATATTTTTCCTCTCTGAATATTTCTCTCTGTTCCCCATCACTGCCCATCCTCCTTTCTGTTTGCATTTTAACTCACATCTGCTCTCGCAGAACTTTTTATTCATTTGAAGGCAATTAAGGAAGAACTTTTGGGTTAGCTCAGCTTCCATTTGTGGGAATGAAGGGTCAGATCCATCTCCTTATTTTCACTATAAACTGACCCAGAAATCCCACACCAGAAATATCTGCAGGGAAAAAAAACCCTGAATTTTCTCACAGGATTGCTTTAAAAAAGCATCAAAAGCTCTCATTTAATAATCCACCATTAATATTTTAGTCAGCTGAAAGGACAGGAGTATTAAACTATTTCTACAGATACCATTTATTCAATATACTCAGAGATGAACTTGCTTCTACAGTATATTCTACCACAGTTATCCATTAATTGCATTGTTAATCGCTTTACATTGTTTCACTGCTCCTTCCTGTCAATAAATACATTTATTTCATGCAGTAACTTGGTTTTTTCTGTGCTTTTCTGTTCCTACTAAGCTCACAATAGAAGGGACATCATGGAAAAAGCAAACTAAGCAGAGTTTAGAAGCTGAGACATGTGGGAAGGTTTTGTTGTTTTGTTTTTTTAGGCTGGCAGAAATCCTCCAGCATCCCCCTCTCCCAGCACTAATTCCAAAGGGAATTCCAGGACCCAAATTCCTGGCAGAAGGGTCTGGAGCTGTTTCCCAGCCTTGGTGCCTCGCCCACAGCAGAAACCCAACCCCTGTTTGGTTTTCAGCCTCCAAAAAGTGTCCTTGAAACCCTGAATTGCTGCACAAACACAATTATTGCACCAAAGACTCTTCCCCGAGGCTGCTGGATTTTGCTCAGAGAAATTTTTGCACCTCCCAGAGCCCAAAATCCTCAACTGAGGAGCACGGGGACTGCTGCCCACTAAAATAGATAATGTCAGGCAGAGAACAATGCCACGATTGTAAGTAAACCACAGGCAGGCAGAGAAAATAAACGATATTGTTTTAAAAAACCCTAATTCCCTCAAACAAAGGAATTAGGCAAACAAACAAAAAAAAAAAAACAAAAAACCAAAGACAAACAAAACAAATCCAATCTTTTATGGTGAGGAGCCAAGAAAAGAGCTAGAAGGGAGGGGGAGAGGGGTTGGAAACGGAATAAAATAATCCACAACCCTCTGGAGAATATTTGGAGAGTGTGGATCAACAGCTGCCAATCAGGAGGAAATTCTGACATTTCCCATTTCCTCTGCTATTGGAATCCATGGTATTGATGATTCTGAGATTGTAGAAAGTCTCTGTCTGTCACCCCCTGCCAAAGCAGAAGCCATAATTGGTCTGTGCTGGTTTCCAGGTTGTTTATTCTGTTTATCTCTCACATGTTCTGCTGCCCTGCCCAGCTCTGTCCTGCAGGGCAGCGTGTGGGGCTCTGCCCTCAGTGGGATGTGACAAACATTCAATACCAGAAACTCCCTGGGCTGGATTTACAAGAACGTGCCAATATCTGTCACCTACGTTGGACAGTGTGTCCCCAGCCTGAACCAACAGAAAAATGCCAACACCACAGTGAGACATGGAGGGCATGAAGAAGGAGAAAAAGGACAAGGCACACCCAATTTCCTCCATCTTGTCCCCTTTGGACCCCTCATCTAGAATCCTAAAATTTTACTTTTGCACCCGTGCCACACTTAATTATCACTCATATCAAGCACTCAGAACTTGTAATTGATCCTGTAAGATTGAAAACTCTTTTCCATGGGCAGAGATCACAGCCAGTGTCTCTGGGGGCTCTGTCCAGGGGGTTCCTGACCCTGCAGGGTCCCAGGGCAGCCAGAGGGAAGCTCTGCATTCCCACATCTGCTCTGCATTTCCCATCCCTCCACTTCTCTGCCCAGGTGCTGCCAGCCAGGCTGGAGGAGCCAAATTCCTGAGGCTGGGAAGAGGGAGAGTCTGAGCCCCCAGCAGGTTTGGGTTCTTTCAGAGCCCATCTGTCGGAACTCAAAATGTCCCTCAGACATTTTTGGAGGTTCCCGGCCCTGGTCAGAAGCATTTGAGACCCTGGCAGGCAGCTGGAAACAGCTGTGATTTTGGGTTTGAGCCATGGAATGATTTACCAACCTTGCAGGAAGAACAAGAAGTCACAAAAGTTTAGATATTAGAGTAGAAGTAGTCACAAAGTAGAGGGAAGAATTTTTGAGTGCTGTACAGGGGGGTTTTGGTTTTGTACATGGGGGTCAGAGGTTTTAAGATGGATTTGGGATCTGGGCCTGCCCTGTCCTCCCTCTGTCTCCTTCCTCACCTCCATGTTCTTGG